GTCTACTTTTCCAATGTTATTTCCTATTTCCCTTTCCACACACTCTCTACATTACCATCACATAGGCTATTGTCTATTCTGTCTGAACTGACATGCTATTCCTGCCTTTGCCCATGCCCTGGCATACCTTTCAAATCAAATACTAGCTCCTTTAGGGTAGCTAGCTCCTTTAAAAAAAAAACACATTTAATTTTTATTTTATTTTTTTCCCTCAATCACATGTAAAGAAAAATTTTAACATTCTTTTTAAAAATTTTGAGTTTCATATTCTCTCCTTCCCTCCGTCCCTTCTCCTCTCCTCTTCCTGAGAAGGCTAGCAATTTGATATAGACCATATGTGCAGTCATGCAAAATGTATTTCCATATTAGTTATGTTGCAAAAGAAAACACAGAACACACCAAAAATACCCAAGAACAATAAAGTAAAAAAAAAAAAAAAGTATGTTTCAATTTGTATTCACACTCCATCAGTTCTTTCTCAGGAGGTGGTTAGCATTTTTCATCATAAGTCCTTCAGAATTGTCTTGGATCATTGTATTGCTGAGAATAGCTCAGTCATTCACAGTTGATCATCATACAGTATTGGGTTACTGTTTTCCTGGTTCTGCTCACTTCACTTTGCATCAATTCATATGGCTTCTCAGGTTTTTCTGAAAGCATCCTGCTCATTATTTCTTATAGCACAATAGTATTCCATCATAATCATATACCATTATTTCTTCAGCCATTTCCCAATTGATGGGCATCTCCTCAATTTCCAATTCTTTGCCACTATGGAAAGAGCAGCTATTACTATTCTTGTACATAGAGTCTAAGAATTTTCCTTTTTCTTTGATCTCTTTGAGGTCAAACCTAGAATTGCTGGATCAAAGAGTATGCATGATTTTATAGCCCTTTGGCCATAGTTCTAAATTGCTCTCCAGAATGGTTGGATCAGTTTACCAACTGATTCATTAGTGTCCCTATTTTCCATATCACCTTTAATATTTGTTATTGTCCTTTTCTGTCATTTTAGCCAATCTGATAGATGTGAAGTGATACCTCAGAGTTGTCTTAATTTGCATTTCTCTAATCAAGTGATTTAGGGCATTTTTTCACATTTCTATAGATAGCTTTGATTTCTTCTTCTGAAAACTGCCTGTTCATATCCTTTGACCATTTATCAATTGGGGAATGACTTGTATTCTTATAAATCTGACTCAGTTCTCTATATATTTGAGAAATGAAACCTTTATCAGAGGTACTTGCTGTAAAATATTTTCCCCAGTTTTTTGCTTTCATTCTAATCTTGGTTCCATTGGTTTTGTTTATGCAAAACTTTTTTTAATTTGATGTAATCAAAATTATTCATTTTACCTGCCATAATGCTCTCTATCTCTTGTTTTTTTTTTCTTTCATAAAGTATTCCCTTATCTATAAATCTGACAGGTAAAATATTCCATGCTCTTCTAATTTGCTTATGATATCACCCTTTATGTCTAAATCATGTACCAGTTTTGACCTTATCCTGGCATACAGTGTGAGATGTTGGCCTATACCTAGTTTCTGTCAAAACTGCTTTCCAGTTTTCTTAGCAATTTTTGTGAAATACTGAATTCTTGTTACAAAAACTTGGATCTTTGGGGGACTCGATTTTTATTTTTGTTTTTGTGTCTCCAGTGAGTGAGTCTGTTGGATTGAATTGTTGGATTAAAATATTGTATTTATCCAGTAGAATATAAGATACTTGAGAATTGGGCTACTCTCATTTTTCTGTTTGTTATCTTCAGCATTTCACTGTGACTTGTACATGCTAGACACTTAATGAATGTTTGTTGCATTGAATTGAAAATAGTTCAAGAAAAAACTATGGGGCCTCTATTTATAGAAATCCTGCCAAATCCAGGCCAGCCTACTGAACAAAAGGAGTCATGTTCATTGTTTCTCTTTTTATGGCCCCTGTTTATTGTGCAGTCATGGAAAACAGCACAGTGTTCTTCTCTCACATTCCGCAGCATCTGTTTATCTTGTTCTGGCTGTGAGTGATGATGAAAATGAATAATCTAGGGTTTGTCCCTCCATTAAGCCACATATGCACTCAGGGACTTGCTACTAAAATGAGACATTAGTGGAAATTATTATGGCTGCAAAACACATACAAAATCTTATAAAAGTAAGGTTATCAATGGCAAAACATGATATAAAGGAACGTTGAATTAAATAACATTCTCTGTATTTTTTGGACAAGATTTCAAAACTGATCACTATTCCCCTGATTATATTCTTGAACTTTCTCTGTTTATATCTTTTATCTAAAATACCTCTACTTAGTTCCTCAGTCCAGGACTCACAATTAATCTTATTTGTAAAGCATCTTCTAAAAGTATAGAACTAGCTGCTGATCATGTTTAATAAAATCTGTCAAATGGAATTATTAAGTGTAATTAACATTTTTCTTATTTCCCATTAAAGTACCAGATTCAAGATTAAAAAAAAAAGGTACATACTGAATGAAGAATATTCTTTCACTTTTTTCTTTGTTTTACCAGGCTGAAAATGTATTTTTTTTCCAGACTTTTGCATGCTTCTTACCATACATTTATTTGATTACAGTAATAATCTGTAGATTAATTCACCATAGCCTGAATAAGGACTTTAATGTTGTGGGCAGGCACTCACTAAATTTTAATTGACATTTTCTTTTGAGAAGGTCATGGACCTGAGGACCCATAAGTAAGTTAATTTCCAAACTTCTTTAAGATATATACTCACGGGAATATAAGGTGTTCAAGTAGCTCATGCATTGAAGTGTAGAGGAGGGGAAAGGGAAATAATGATCATACCGCTTCTAGTACCCCCAAAATGGGGTAGGGGAACATTAGGGACCTCAGATGGGGTTCGGGGAAAGTGTCTGTAAGGAAATTCCCTTCTCCCAGTGCAGATTAGCAACTGTACTGCAGGCCTAGATAACTACCTAATATGCTGAAAGTGACCTGGGTCAGTTGAAGGTTCAAGTCTTCTTTAGTCCAAGTAGCTTGTTTAGTACAGCATATAGCACTTGATAAATGCTCGATGATGGATGCCATGGATGGATGCCACACAAAATCCCAGCCATGAAGGACAGTATTTAAAGGGCCAGCCTCTCTGTGTGTCCTTCTCCATTGAAATGCAGTCACTTCTTGAACGCGCCTCTCCAGCCGAATTAACTCCAGATTTTTCTCCTTTACCCTTTTCCTCCCTTTTCAATTCTATCTCTGAGAATAATCTATTGCCTAGCTGAAGGGCTCCACAGAAAGGGTGTGAGATCGGTATTTTGAGAATAACCTATTGCCTACTCGAAGACCTTCCGCAGAAAAACCGGGCCACACTGGGGGCTCAGAAAGGTTGCACTGACCGCCGGGGTGGGAATCGGTACGCAGGAGAAGGGCGGGGTTTCGGCGATTGGGCCGAGGGGAGGAGCAACTATTTGGGCTAGCGAGCTGGCGCGGGGTGGGGGAGGAAGGGAGGCGGGGACTCTATAAAAGGTCTGCGCTGGGGAGGGCGGGCCTGAGCTTTCGCTTGGGCTTGGCTTGGCTGGGAAGGCGTAGCGGCCCTGCCGCCGCCGCGCCTCCGACTCTGGGAGAGAGGGGCGAGAAGGGGAGAGGGAGCGCAGAGGTGGTAGGCGTCTCTGCATCTCCCGAGCAGCCCGACTGGCGTCGGCAGCCACCCGAGGGGAAAGCCTGGGAGCCGGAGCTTCAGCCTCTGGCGCTGCAGCTGGCTCAGGCTCGGGGTGCGGAGGTGAGGGCATCCCGTGCTTGCGGCGGAGAGGACCGCAGCCGCTGCGGGGGTGGCAGCCGCAACTGCGGCTGCGGCTTTGACACCTCTCGGGGTCTGGGGAGCAGCGACGCAGGGGCAGGGGAAGGTCTTGTGGCCAGAGGAGGTCAAGGGCAAGGTTTTTTGTTTTTTCCTTTCTCTTGAAACTGGAAAAACTCCATGCTACTCTGCCACTGTCTGCTAGTTGGGAACGTTTGGAAGGGTGGAAGGGCGCTGGGCGTTGGCTGCTCATCCCCCGGCCATGTACCCAAAGCTTTTAGCTTTGGGGATCGAGTTACCTACTGAAAGCTAAGCCTGTCTCTGCCTGGCACTTGATTGGAGTGGGGGAGAGGCTTTTCAGGGAGTGGAGATAGTTAGTGAAGAGAAACTAAAACTCACCTTTGACAGTGCTATTAACAAGGGAAAGAAGGATGGGCAGCTGATGGCTGTTAACTAAAGATGAATCTGTAAGTATTAGCCGGTGAAAGTTTGTGAGCTTATTAAAAAGGAAACCATAACCAACAGCGCTCCTGAGGTCTGCCTAGACCTAAACCTATAGACTAGGATGTAGCATCCCAGGGCTGGCAGCATTCCTGCAAAGGTGCTGCTGCTTCCGTTAATTACGGAAAATTGAGGTGAAGGTGCAAACCGGTAGTCTAGGGTTTTTCTTATTGATGTTTTAATCTTAGATCTTAACTACTTGGAAGTTGCATGGGAAGCATTTTCTTTAGAGAATTAAAGTGAGCTGTCTCCAAGTCTGACAGGGATGAGTCCTGCAAATTTTGGCATGTGAGATGTCTACGAAAAGTATTTCTAGTTTGGCCGTTTCAATGGCTCGATTTGCAGTTCTGCCTGCCTGACTATAGGGAAAAGCTCAATTTTCTGGAATCATCGCCAGTATGGACATTTGTCCTTTTTTTCATGAGTAATCTCTAGTGTTGGACTGGTACTTGGCACCAGGTACTATGGTAAAGAGTAGTGGGAGGAGATTTAGCAGTGGGCATTTCACTTGGCTTTGAACTTGGGGAGAGGGGATGTCGGCAGTAATAGAGAATTTTGAGAGAATGGGATTAGATATTTGTTCTGTGGTAAGAGATTTTTTTTCGTGAGTTCTACTTTGTGTCTATCTGAACTAATGCTTATCTCTCTTCCCTCACTCCCTTATTTTAGCTACATCTATTTCAATGGTGCTGCTTTCTTCGTTCTCTTTATGTAGCCACTTACCTTCAGGCCATTCAGAGGAGAGCAAAGTGAGGAATATGAAATCAGCCAAGCAGCAATTGAATCACAGCCAATGTGGGGAGAGCCAGCCTCCCCTGAGCCCCCTGCGGTCTGCTCTCAATTCAGTGGTAACTTCTTCCCAGGCCTATGAGACCTACATTGATAATGGACTCATATGTCTCAAACACAAGATTAGAAATATTGAAAAAAAGAAGGTAACTTTTTTCATTTTGTTGGGTGGGATGTTTCAAAACAAAAAATTCATGTTTCACTTAGACACCTCCCCTTCTAAGAATAGAATCAAGATCTAGTGTGCATACAAAGCAAAATTTAGAATTATTTATCAGTTTAGCTGAAGGGTTTATGCTTTATACTGTTATTTTGCATGCCGTTGTCTAAATGCTTAGAGATTTATTAGAGCATTCATCTTTTTTTTTTTTAAATGAGAAGGGCATTACTCAGAGAGAGGGAATACTAATAACTTGCAAACCCCATCCCTTGTTTGTCTTCTTTCTGCAGCAGTTATTGCAGTACAGCTGCAGCAGTGATGGGAAGCTTGAGGAATGATACACAGTTCTAGCAATACTAATTTATAGCTTAAAGATAACATGGTCAGGAAGTAAATCTTAGAGATGCTTATCAAAAGTGAAAGGTTTAACATGGGTCTAGTGTGACTACAAAGGTTGATGTAAAAATTCCAAATTCATGCCATAACTAATTTCTTTGAGTTATGGGGCTAATATTAAATAGTATTTCATGTATTAAATTTTATTTATTTAATAATTATTAGTGATTCCCTCTCGGTATTCTAACATGGTGGTACTCACTGGGTGGGTTTTATGGCCCTGAATTTAAAATATTTGAATATAAATGTGAAACCAAGTTCTACTGAAAACTTTAGGAGCTGTTTTTATGGGAGGTGTGTGTGTGAATGTGTGTTATTCAAATGGTAAGTCTGATTGGGCTAATGTGGAGCTAGTTTTTGTGGTCATAGGTTTTGGTACTTAGAAGGGCCATTTACTTGTAGCTTGTCTGTTGCCACAGACTGGGCCTGATCTGACTTTGCAATGTATGAATGTGAATGGATCAGCACAAATTCTTCAACTTTACTGGATACACAAAGCTTAGGTCGTATCGATGATAGGTCAATAGTATGGTCTATGCAAATGGTGTGCAATGTCTGCTGTATATTGGAAACTTAGGAGTGATGGCCTTTGAGCATATACCACATAATTTTAAGTGCATTTAACTAGATTTGTGTGTAAGCTAACATAATGTTATAGGACTACCATCAAGTGCTTGACAGTGAGTACATGAGGTTATCATTGTACCAGTGTATACACTCAGCACCAAAAATTTATCATTTCTCACATTATAGTAGGTTCAGCCTGAGTGCTATTTTCATGTGTTGCTTTTCTTAAATTCAGTATGAAAGTTATAACTCTTGTACTTGGCACATCAAAAAGGGTACAGTTGAAGCAAACAACAAAGAGGACTGGATGCCCTCCATGCTGAACAGTGGGCTGTTCCAGACCTTGCTTCTAATTACCTGACTTTAAATTAAAACTGGATTAAATTTAAATCTGGATTTGAACTCAGGTGCTCCTGACTTCAGGGCTGGTGCTCTATGCATTGCACTACCTAGCTGCCCCATGTAGTTCAATATTTCTAAAAATCTGCTAGGTTTCTGTATCTGGATGTCCTGCTGGCATTGCAAATTCAGTATTTACAAAACTGAACTCCTTATTTCTATCCTCTGCCCTTACACCAACTTCTGTTTCTGGTGGAAGACAGTGTTCCATCTTTCCAGTCACCCAAAAAGCAGATAACATCTTTGACTTTTCTCTTTCTGTCACCTCTCTCATTCAGTTGTTTGCCAGGTCTTGTTGATTTGATTATGCCTTCCATAATATAGTATCTATTTCTTTCCATTTTGATTACAACAACCCTGCTTCAGGACCTCACCACTTTTTACTTGAACTTGAACTAGCTTTTTTTTTTTTAAACTAGCTTCTTAACTGGTCTTTCTTCATCCAATTGCTTTTCTTCCCTAATTCAGCCTTCACTTAGCTGCCAAAATAAGCTTACTAATGCAGTGTTTTGATCACATCGCTCCCTCTAATTAATAAAACAAAAACAAAAACAAAAACTTCAGTGACTCCCCGTGCAAGTATAATATAAACTCCTTATGGTGCTTAAAGCCCTCTAGCATTCCAATACTATTCCCTTGTAGTGAGAGGGCATAATGGATTGACCACTGGATTAAGAATCAGGGAACCTCAAGTTTGAATGCTTCCTCAGATGCTTAATTAGCTCTGTGACCCTGGACGAGTCACTTAGCTTCTCTTCTGCAAAATGGAGATAATAATTCCACCTACCTCTGAGGGTTATTGTGGGAAACAAATTAAATCACATATGTAAAACCATTTGCAAGCCTTAAAGCATGTTAAGCTATTATTTGGTTTAAACCAAGCTGACTACTCCTCTGTCCTGTTCTGGATGACCTCTTTGTGCTGTTCTCTGTACCTAGCATGAACTCTCCTCTTCTCTACCCTCATTCTCCCACCCTCAACTTTGACCTTTTTTTTGTCAAATGTCAGCTTAGGTGCCCTACTTCTGTGAAATTTTCCCTCATATATTTCTTTGCTGACTCTTTATCTAATTGAAAGTGATCTCCATCTTCTGATTGCTCATAACATTTTGGACCTCTCCTTTGTACCACTTCAACTTCATATTGTTGGTTAGAATATACATTATATTTCCTCTCCCTTGCCTTTGCCTCCCTCCAGATCTGTCCTCTATAATCCATTATTATTTTCAGCATATGTTTACTTTTTTTCCCTTCTTTCAAAGATCCTATTTTAGGAATATAGTCCTATATGTGTGCCAGTACTAAACATAGCTTATACTACTAAATCATAAAAGTCTTTAAGAGTAGATGTTTTTTCACTTTATAATAACTTTAATTTACCCAGTTTGACTAAACAAATGTGTGTTTTTTTCTCCCCTTCCCCACCTCTGGCTGTAATTATAGAGGCTTTGAAATAGTAGCATTTCTGGAGTTCTCAGTATTAACAGGTTTTGTTTTGTTTTTAATAAATTCTTCAACTAGCAAATGTCTTAGTTTGCTTACCTTAATCAAATGCAAATCTTCCAGATAAGCAACTTAAATTTCACTTGAGTTTCATGGGAAATTTTCAGGAACATTTCCATGGCTAGATATCAATCTAGATAGATGACGGTCAAATCTGTATAAACACCTGAAATCTTTCCTTCCTAAGATCAATTCTGTTGTCTTCAACTGCCTTCTGGACATACCTGGGTGTTCTGTCAGCTCGTTGAAAGCAATATATCCACAACTGGACTTGGCTCTGAGCACCACTCCATGTTATTCATCTTTGACTTTTCTGTTTCTTTTCCCTCTCCTCTATTCCCCGTATTTATTTCCTTGCTAAGTCCCCTCAATTCTGTCTCTACAGTATTTCTCACCTTCATCCCTTCCTTTCAACTTCCATTTCAACATTTTGTTCTGGCCCTTGTTGCCTCTTGCCCAAACTATTGTGATAATTTCTTAATCTGTCTTCTTTTATTCCCTTCTACAATTCATCTACATAACTGCCCAAATGTTCCTAATGCTAAGGTCTGATCATGTCACTTTCTGCTAAAAACCTTCCTTGGATCCTTGTTGCTTCCCAAATAAAATGCAAATTCCTCAGCCTGTCATTTAAGACCAGCCATAATCTATCTCCAACATGCCCTTCCAACCTTATTTCACATTATTCCCTTCATATTTTCTGTGTTCTAACCAAACTGGAATACTAGCCACTCAACCAGCCTTATCCTACTATACATTTACATAGACAGTAAACCATTTCCATTTTTCTCCCTTCACTAAACCCAAACCTAGTATATATTACTGTTTATATTTGTTTGTTAATCCTTCCTTTAAGGAAAGTATTAGGTGTTATCGCTTCTATGATGCCTATCTTGATTTCTGATCTTCTTCCTCACAGCTGAAAATTATCTTTCCCTCAAATCCTAGAGCATTTTTGCTCAATCTTTGCTCCACTCCTATTGCGTTTTTACCCTATACTCTAGTTATTTGTATGTAAACCATCATATCTCCTGGCTCACATTCAATGAGATCTTTAAACACTTGGCTGTTGTCTTTCATTTGTTTTCCCAGCATATATCAAAATGTCTTGTACATAGCAGGAAAGTAGAATTAATTTAGAAACATTTAATTTTCAAACTTAACTTTTTGTCAAACTAAAAGTTTTTCTATTTGTAGCTCAAACTAGAAGATTATAAGGATCGCCTGAAAAATGGAGAGCCACTCAATTCAGACCAATTGGTAAGTAGATAGTCATCCTCTAGAAAACTTGCTTTTTCAATTTTTAAGGGGAAAAACTTCTGGATTTGATAGGACTAAGGACTTTGTAGAATGGGGAAGAGAAATGAAGATACAGTGAATAGAGTAAAGGTTTCATTGAGTCTTCATGTCTCTTGAGATTTAAGTATACTTGCTGTTAGGTCCTATCAATAACATAGTCATTGGGGGTGCTGAATATTAGAGGCAAGTGCTTTAAGGTAATTCTTTTTCTTCTTCTTTCAGTTTTGGAGAATAGCCAACTTTCCCTGCATATTTTTTTTTTTTTAGGCAATTGGGGTTAAGTGACTTGCCCAGGGTCACACAGCTAGTAAGCGTCAAGTGTTTGGTCTGAGGCCGGATTTGAACTTGGGTCCTTCTGATTTCAGGGCTGGTGCTCTATCCACTGCGCCACCTAGCTGCCCTCTCCCTGCATCTTCTTAAAGAGCTGAGTGGATTTTGTCTTTTAATTTGAAGTTCTGCCACCCAATCTTAGTTGAAATAAAGTTTCTATCCTTTTCTTTTCCAACTCTTCTTATCAAAAATATAGGATTATGAGGAAACAAAGCCAGGGCAGCACCCAAAGAGGATTCCTTGTCAGTTTTTGCTGAGTAATTTTTTCTTTCCTTTTGCCATCATCACTAGAGCAAGTAAGGGAAGAATAATGACTTAGCTTCAGATGACTTTCCCTGTCTTTGTACTCTTTTTGTGGTATTAGTACCTAAAGAGATTCTTTTATGCAAACTCTCTACTATGGGAGAAATTTTGGAGTGTGTATGGTATATTTATGTACTTGTCTTTTAACTTAGTCTTGATCACTTGTACCAAGGTGCTTTTAAGTAAAGATAAGGCATTGCTCTCTTTCTCGGGTCACTGGCGTGTCTAGTTAGGCTTTTATTTGCCCTTCTTTCTGCCACAGTAATTTGTCTCTGCTTTTTTGCTTAAACTCCAGGTTTTCTCCACCCCCACTTATATCCTACATTTTAACTCTAGGTCAAATTGTCTTTTTTTCTGTAGCAGCTGGCAAACTAGCTTGGCAGTTTGCCTGAATTCTATACTGGGTGAATGTCTCTATTAATTGGTCTCACTAGAATCAGGCTTATATATAGAGTGGAGGCAGTCATCTATATGGTATAGCTTACTGGACCTTAGAATCAGAGTTGGAAGGAACCTTGGGAGATTATCTAGTCCAACTCATTACTTGGTATAATCCCCTCTACAACCTTGTTGACACCTGTTGTCCTGTGCTGTACTTCAGAGATTCTTAACCTTATTTGTGTCGTGCACTCCTTTGGCAGTCTAGTGAAGTCTATGGGCCCATTCTTAGAATGTTTTTAAATGATAAAATATAGGATAACAAAACATTTATATTTAAATAGTTATCAAGAAATATATATATATATATATTTTTTCAAAATATATTTTTTTTAAATGCAGTTTACAGAGCCAGGGTTGCCCTGCTCTACTTGAATGGAGAATATACTATTTTACAACAATGTTTTTTATTGATATTGTTTCCAAATATATTTCTCCCCTCCCTAGTAAGAGCTCGTTACTTTGAGGCAATATGTTCTGCTGCTAGAAAATACTAATTATTACAATTTTTTCCCTTTATACTGAGCCCAAAGGTGCTACTCTATAACATTGTTAGACCTAATGCTTTTTAGGGAGTGGGAGGTGGGGGTCTCGGATTGTGAGGAAGGTATATCACATTCATTCATGTTGAGATTGCAGTCAACTTTTTAGTGTATCTTACAAGGTCTCCTGCCTCTCTATAATTAGAACTTATGTAGAATTAGAGTTAAGAGTTCAATTCTTGGCTCTGCTCTTTGCTGCATGGTGTGATCAAATTGCTTTACTTTTTTTTTTTCTGGGCCTCAGTTTTTCTAACTGCAGAATTAGAGTTGGATCAACTTTAAAGCCTCTTTAAACTCTAACCCTTTTGTCTCTGAAGGTGACAAAACCCAGGTTCCAGATAGCTCAGGGATCTATAGAGCTCTCAGCTGTAGGCCATCCAGTTTATGTGACCTAAAATTTTTAATTTGGACTAGATGGCCCCTCTGTTTTATGAAATATATTCTTTGAAAAAAAAAGATTAATAATAATAGCTAATATTTTTATAGCACCTACTATGCCAGGAACTGTGCTAAATGTTTTACAAATATCTCATTTCATCTTATTAGCTTTAACTTAGTGTGAATTTATTGTTTTCTTTTGATTAGACTTTGATAAATGGAATATACTTAGTAAGTAGTAAAGGAAAGAGGGTAGTACTTCAGTCTTTCAAACTGAATTCTAAACATAATACTCTCACCCTCTCTTTCTTGATTTAAAGCTTTTTTTCTAAATTGGCAATTCATTCTCACCTTTATACTTTCTTTCAACTTTTATTCCCTTTAATTAGCTTCTCACATCTTTTTTCTAACTACTTTCACATCACTTAGAAACCCACAGAGCCACAGAAGCCTAAACTAAATCCTAAAGTTATTCCCTCTACATTGTATCTAGCAGTGGCTATCTACAGTTTGCTTAAAGACCTCTGATGAAAGAGAACCCGTTACTATCTAAGGCAACTCCTTCAACTTTGGAATAGTTCTAATAATTCACAAGATTTTATTCCTACCTTGAGCTAAAATCTACCTCTGTAATTTCTATCCATTGTTCCTTGTTCTGAACTCTGGGACAAAGCAGAATAAGTGTAAACCTGCTTAAATGTCATAGCCCTTCAAATACCTTAAGAATACTGTGGTACTGAGCAAATCTATTGTCCGAAGGTTCCTTCAGGCTTCGTCAGGCATGAATCATCTCCCTCAAGCAGCTAGGTGGTGGTGTAGGTGGTGTTAGACTTGCAGTCAGGAAGACCTGAGTTCAAATACTATCTCAAACACTAATTGTATGACCCTGGAAAAGTCATTTAACCTCTTATCCTCAGTTTCTCGTCTATAAAATGGGAGTAATTATAGCACCTATTTACCTGGGGTTTTTTCTAATATCAAATGAGATAACATATGTAAAGAACTTTATAAACCTTAAAGCACTTTATAAATGCTATGATGATGATGATGATGTTTAATTTACCACCACCCTGCTTTTTCCCCCAGTACTTCTTCAAGTCACCAATGCCCTTCCTGCACCTAAGACTGAACTTAATATTTTAGACATTACAATATACAATTGTAACATATAAAAAGTATGTTAAAGCAGTATATGTATTGTACATGTGTGTATATACATTCTCCAGCAAACAGTATCAACTCATGTTCTCAAAGGAATTATAGTACTTAACTGTTACAAAAATCCTAAATCTGTCCATAAGCACATTAGGAAGATAGTTCTTCAAAAACCAGGTGTTATGGAATGAATCTCAGCAGTTACAGTTTAGTTAGGCTCATAACATTCATTTAAGTTAAAATGTGGTTACTGAGGCTTCATGAATCAACCTGATATTCAAGTCTAGTGTTTTGATAATTGCCATGGGCAGATGTCATCTTTCTAGTCAATATCCTGTTTTTTGTGTCTTGTACATAATACGTACTCAAATCTTATTGAATTGAATATGCTATTGTAACTAGTTAATATCACCAAACATATCTTGTTCTTAGAAGATAATTTTTTTCCTCTGCAGAAATACTTTGAATAATTTAAAATCTTTGAAGGAGCTACTGTGATTGTACACACTGTAGAAACATTAAATTCAGTCAAAAAACATGGATTTCTTCTAGCGTTGTCCTTTGTAATGTTAAGCTATGGACCTTGGACAAATTATTTAACATCCCTGAGCCTGCCCCAAGTTCTTCAGCTGTAAAATGAAGGTAGTAATATCTGTACTACTTCTCTAACAGAGGTTATTTGTTGCAAGAAAAGTGCTTTATGACTTACAAAGTACAGTATTAAAGTGACCTATTCAAGAGAACATAATAACTAAACTAAATCTCACTTGCATTTTGAATAACCTATCTGTCTATCTAAACCCCCTTCTACATACCTCTCACCTAGATTATTATTATTATTGTTGTTGTTGTTGTTTTTACCTAGGCAATGGGGTTAAGTGACTTGCCCAGGGTCACATAGCTAGTAAGTTTCATATGTCTGCAGTTGGATTTGAACTCTGGTCCTCCTGACTCCAGGGCTGGTGTTCCATCCACTGGGCCACTTAGCTGCCCCTCACCTAGATTATTTCAACAACTTCCTAATTGGTCAACCTGCTCCAAGTTTTTCCCCACTCAATTCCATCCTGTATGCTATTGCCAAAGTAATTTTCCTAAAGCGCACATCTGACTGTATGACTCTTCTGCTCAACCAGGAACCGTGCCTTCCTATTACCTCTTAAAATCAAGTATCAAGCCCTCCATTTAGCTTTTAAAAAACCTATTGGTAGCCTATTATTCCACTCTCTTTAGACGTTATTCCCTTCCCCCACTCTTTGATTTCTGCCAAACTGGCCTCTCTGTTCCTCACACAGGACTCCATTTCCTGGCTCTTTGTACTAGCCATCCCCCATGACTGGAATTTACTTCCACCTCTGAGTTCCCTGCTTTTAAGATGCAGCTGAAGCACCATCTTATGCATGAAGTATATGTAGCCTATTCAGATTCCCTCCCCTAGTCAGCTACTAGTGTCATCTCTTCCTTCTATTGTGCCTTCTATTTAACTACTTTGTATATAATCACTTTATATTTACACTGCATGTATTTATATATGTGCCTATTATCTCCCCTAGAATATAAATTCCCTTTCCAGTAGGGATTCTTGCATCTTTGTACTTGTATTCCTTCTACCCTAATAAATACTTGTTGGCACTTAATAATAAATACTTGTTGATTAGTGAACTCCATATATTTTGTTTTAGCTATGGTAGCAGTATGGAATTTTGTTTATAAAATGGTTGGAATATTGAATATTTATTGTTCTGATTCAGATCTGGATTAGGAAGAAAAAATTCTGTGTCCTAAGTGTTAAGTGCTAGAACAATACGCAAATGGTTCCTAGTGAAATTTTTTTTAATGCTGCTGTATTTTGTAATGAGACAGCTATTAAACTAATGTGTCACACTTTTAAGAATGTACATATGGAAGAGAGGATGCCATGATCCAGTTTGTACTCATGCTTAGCAAGAAGTGTTAAAAACTCAGATTTCAAACTAGCAAACTGACTAGTACTCCATTCAAGGTACTAGCCCAATTAGAATATCCATAAATGAGTACCGTCTCTTTAAATTTTGAATTGCTGCCCTTCGTTATAAGAGAACTGTACACACACACACACACACACACACACACACGATTTTTCACTCTTTCCCTTCTCTCATTGTAGAGTGCTCTTATTTTGACATAGATACGTGTATGTTAAATATTTGCTTTTTAATTGTTTTATAGGAGGCAGTAGAAAAGTATGAAGAAGTATTACATAACTTGGAATTTGCCAAGGAGCTTCAAAAAACTTTTTCTGGACTCAGCCAAGATGTAAGTTGTTTCAGGAAGAACAACACAATTTGAATAGGGTAACTGAAAATCAGTAGTATATACAATATTCCATAGCCCTTAATCCTCACCTCTACAAAGATGGTACATTTCCTCAACCCTTCTCTGAAAGCATGGTATAATTGAATAGTGTTGGATTTAAACCCTATTGTTCTATTTTGTATACACACATACACACACAGACATACATATTTCCTGGACCTTTTTACTTCAATCAGCATCATTTCATATAAATCTTCTCTAAATTCTTCATGTTCGTCCCTTGTGACACAGTCATCTTCCATTACATTTATGGATGGCAACCATGATTTTTGAACTATTCCTCAATCAGTGGGCATCTATTTAGTTTTCAGTTCTTACAGTAAAATCTTGATTTGTTTGCTATTAAGTTTTGTTTTTCTTTTAGGTAATGGTGGATACTATAGCTCACTTGTAAGATAACTTCACAATAATGTTCACCTGGTATAGATATATTTTTAACATGTCAGTATCTTTGGAGAATTATTTCAATTAGACATATTTTTATTTACATTTTTAAAATTAGCTATGTATTAATTCCCTTGTAGTTTTGTTGGAAACTTTTTTTTAAACCCTGTATCCATACATAATGGGTGGGTATATGCAAGCTAGAAGTTGTCATGCTTGTGTTTGTTCTACAAGATATTTGGGTTTTAGACCCAGGCCAAGTAACATCAGTACTTTTCTTTCATTGTCAGATTCTTCCAAATATTTTTTGTTTGTTTCTTTAAACTTGCTGGGCTTTTTTCTACTCTGTCCTATAATGATATTGTGGCAGAAGTCAGTGGACCTGATTATTTTAAATATAGTATATGTTGAATGGCATGGTGCATAGCGAGTTGGCCTCAAAGCCAGGAAGATCTGGATTCTAATTTCTGACATACTGGCAACATGAGCCCAGGCAAGTCACTTAACTTCTCATTACTCGAGGAAACCTTTTAAGGCTAAATTGCATTGGTGGAGGAAGTCAGTTTGCCTGGAGGTTTCCTAGATGAATGAAATCACCAGTAATCTTCTATCCCTGTATATTGAGACAAATTGATTGTGTCATGTTATCATATACATCCAGTGACCAAAAAAGTTGGTGGGTTGAAATATGTCTGGCTAATCTGCACTTTGATCTTCTCCATTAGACGATCATACATTGTGATTAACTGACCAAGATAGTAAAGTAAAACTATTGTTTAGTGTGATTTGCTTATTTGATATGACAGATTGGGGGTGGGGCAGAATTCTATGGAATGATGCTTTAGGATATAAGTTCATATAGGTTTTATTGCAACATAAGTCATCTGGTTAGTTGGAACTGACCGTTTTTATATCTCGCCTTGGTCCTTTTTTTCTTTGCAGCTGCGTTTTAGGCTTTTTACTGTATGGGGCATGAAGAGCAAAATATATACTGAGAATTAATATGTATATGTGTGTATACATACACATACATACACACATGTGTATATGTGTAGCATATATGTATGTGTAATATATATTATTAATAATACATACATATATAATTTTGATTTTAAATTACTCTGATAAAAGTTGGTCACCTTTTTAGGATTAACTGTGTATTTCATTGATTCTCCTCATGGTAGATGATAGAATAGTAGTAGTGTGTTGGCTGGCAGGAGACTGGGTTCTAGTCCTAACACTGCCACTAACCGGATAATCTTAGGTAATTTGACTTCTTTTTGTCTCAGTTTTTTCTACATTTTTATATCTGTCTTTCCTATTTGTATCAAAAAGGTAGTAGTAGAACATTTATCTGTTCTTCTTCCTAACTTCCATCTTTAAGAGATCTCTTCGAGTCTTTGGCTTCCTTTAAAATTTGGCTCAAGCGCAACCTCCTCTAGGTGCTTTGCCCCCTCCCCAAACCGCCTACCTTCCATTTACTCTGTACTTACCTTGTATATTCCAATTTTATCTTCTCCCCAATTAGAATATAAGCTCCTTAAAGACAAAGACTGTTTTTGATGTTTTCTTTAGCTTTCCAGCACTTTGCAAAGTACCTGGTTTATAGTAAGTGCTTAATAAGTATTTATTTGGTAGGTTTAAAAGCACTTAGTTGTAAATTGGCATAATTAGAATTGGCTACATATTCTATTAACTTTTTTAATTGTCACATGAGATTTGAGAATCTTTAGCTGTTTTGGGTTAGATGTTCTAAGAGTACAATTTCAGTGGCTTATAGGATAAAGGTAGCACCATGTAGGGAAAGCGCTAGATTTGAAGTCAGAGGATGTGATTTGGAATCCTAGCTCTGCTATTTTAAGTCTTCATCTCCTGGGCTTGTAAAATAAGGAAGTAGACTAGCTTTTATATGAAGTCCTTTTTAGCTCTAAATCTTACAGGCCTAATTTTCTGTATATGAAATTGCTAATTGGGAGGTATAGCCAACAGCCCATTTTAATAAGAATTTATTTTTAATAGCTCCTGAAAGCCCAGAAGAAGGCTCAGAGAAGAGAGCACATGTTAAAACTTGAGGCTGAGAAAAAGAAGCTCCGGACTATATTTCAAGTTCAGTATGTCTTACAGAACTTCACACAAGAACACGTACAAGAGGACTTCAAAGGTGGCTTGAATGGTGCAGTGTATTTGCCTTCGAGAGAACTAGACTACCTCATTAAGTTTTCAAAACTCACATGCCCTGAGAGAAACGAGAGTTTGAGGTACAATAATGAAAAGGTTCTCCTAAAATGGGACACATACTACGTTTTAGTTTGTTGGTATTTGGGAATGAATTAGAAACAGCTTTGAAGAACAGCAAATCCTATGATTAAGAGCCATAGTATTTGGAAGGGGTAAATTTGGGATAAGGAACTAGTCCTTTCCTTACTATCCATATATTCCAGTATTGTAGCACTGATTTTTTTTTTTGGCAAGGCAATTGGGGTTAAGTGACTTGCCCAGGATCACACAGCTAGTGAGTATCATGTGTCTGAGGCTGGATTTGAACTCGGGTCCTCCTGACTTCAGGGCTTGTGCTCTATCCACTGTGCTACCTGGCTGCCCCCCCCCCACATATTCTTTGTAGCACTGATTCTTAAAAAGATTATTCAAAGATCAGTCTAACCTTAACGTAAAACTGCTGTATTTGAGAATATTGGAAAAACTTGCTGTTAAGGTAAAAACATGGTCTTTTTATTACCCCAGAAAACTTTTACATCCTTATTTCTCTGCTCTTGAATAAAAAGCAAGCAAAATTTGTCTTGTTCCAATATAATTGAACTTTCGAAAAAGAGAAGTACTTGGTGTTCTGCCATCATCCCACAGGTAAAAACTAAATAAGTTAACCCAATATCAAAGCACAAAGAATAGATTTATACAAATTAGACTCTTTGATGAATATTTTTTATTCCTTTCTCCTCCACTACACCATTCCTTCCAGTTATCCATGTTTGCCATCTTGTTTTGAACCAATAATCTTTATACACTTTTTTTTTGTTTTTAGAAAGTTTGATGGTATTTTTTTATTCTGTTAAAGTGGGTTTAAAATTCATCTGTGAGACATATGATTTCTAAGAAATCTAAATCTATATATGAAAGCTGTAAAATGCAGTCAGCCCTTAGCTTCTTGCAGTTAGACACACTGGCTCCCCATGCCATCACCAGTACATGTTTGTCCATTTCCCTCCCTACTGAGTATAGGCTCAGGCAGTGTGTAAATGTATATTTACCTTAGACTGAACAAAACTTTTATCTGCCTAAATATCATGTAAAGGGCCCTTAAGAAATCCATATTGTAACTTAATATTAATTCCTCTCATTTGACATAAGTAGTCATGAGTTGACAATACAACTTCAGTAAATTGTAATTTTAAACTTGTCTGTTTCTTAATAGCTCCTTTTGGTAAATGTGTGTAATGAATTCTGGCTAAAGGTTGCTTTTTTTTTTTAAGTTAGCTTGTTTAAGAAATTAACTTGAATTAGAAATCTTAAGTGGCTGATCAGCTTTAGCAGTTCAGGTTTAATTTTTCCTTTCCATTGGAAACAAAATTACTTTTGACTATATATGGACAGGAATTTATAATGTGTCAATGCCACGACATACTTCTAAAGTTGCTTTATTTTTGCTGCTTTTCATTTTCAGTATTGAAGACCAGATGGAACAGTCATCACTCTACTTTTGGGACCTCTTGGAAGGCAGTGAGAAAGCAGTGGTGGGAACAACATGTGAGTCTCTTCTGCTTTATGGATGCCTACAAACTTTATTGTGTGAAGTTTAATATTAAGCTTAAATGTTTAAAATGTGGAGAGGGTCAGAACTACCATCAGGCATCAGGGCATCCCATAAATTTCCAATTCTTTGCCACCACAAAAAGGGCTGCTATAACTAATTTTGTACATTGAGGTCCTTTTCCTTTGATCTCTTTGGTATATAGATATAGTGGTGGTATTGCTAGGTCAAAGGGTATGCGCATGTTTTTTATTTATTTATTTATTTATTTTCGTTTTCAACATTCACTTTTATAAGATTTTGAGTTCCAAATTTTTCCCCTTCTCTCCCCTCCCCAGGATGGCATGTAATCTGATATTGGCTCTACTTATGCATTCATATTAAGCATATTTCCACCTTGCATGTTGTGAAAGACGAATCAGAACAAAAGGGAAAAACCACAAGAAAGAAAAAACAACAGCAATAAAGAGAAAATAGTATACATCAGTCTACATTCAGACTCCATAGTTTTTTCTCTGGTTGTGGATAGCATCTTCTATCATGAGCTTTTTGGAATTGTCTTAGATCATTGCATTGCTGAGAAGAGCTAAGTCTATCAAAGTTGGTCATTTTACAATGTTGCTGTTCCTGTGTGCAATATTCGCCTGGTTCTGTTCACTTCATTCAGCATCAGTTTATGTAAGTCTTTCCAGGTTTTTTTGAAATCTGCTCATGTGAAATCTCATATCTTACAGAACAATAGTATTCCATTACATTCAAATACCACAACTTATTCAGCCATTCCCCAATTGATGGGCATCCCCTCAATTTCCAATTCTTTGCCACCACAGAAAGAGCTGCTATAAATATTTTTGTACATGTGGGTCCTTTTCCCTTTTTTAATGATCTCTTTGGGATACAGACCTAGTAGTGGTATTGCTGGGTCAAAGGGTATGCACAGTTTTATAGCTCTTTGGGCATAGTTCCAAATTGCTTTCTAGAAGGGTTAGATCAGTTCACAACTCACCAACGGTGTATTAGCATCTCAGTATTCTCACATCCTCTCCAACATTTGTCATTTCTCTTTTTTGTTGTATTAGCCAATTTGACAGGTGTGATGTGGTACCTCAGAGTTGTTTTAATTTGCATTTCTTTAATCAAAAGTGATTTAGAGCATTTTTATGTGACTGTAGATAACTTTAATTCCTTGAATGACTTTTATTCTTATAGATTTGACCAAGTTCTCTATATATTTGAAAAATGAGGTCTTTCTCAAAGAAACTTGCTGTAAAAATGTTCTCCCACTTTTCTGCTGTCCTTCTAATCTTGGCTGCATTGGATTTGTTTGTGCAAAACCTTTTAAATTCAATGTTATCAAAATTATCCATTTTACATCCCATAATGTTCTTTATCTCTTGTTTTGTCATAAATTCTTCCCGTATCCATAGATCTGGCAGGAAAGATATTCCATGTTTTCCTAATTTGATTATATCTCCCTTTTTGTCTAAATCATGTACTCATTTTAACCTTATCTTGGCATATGGTGTTAGATATTGGTTTGTACCTAGTTTCTCCCAAATTGCTTTTCAGTTTTCCCAGCAATTTTTCTTAGATACTGATTCTTCTCACAAATGCTTGGATCTTTATGTTTATCAAACACTAGATTACTATGGTAATTTATTACTGTATTTATTGTGTACCTAATATACTCTATTGGCCCACCACTTTTTTTCTTAGCTAGTACCAAATTGTTTTGATGATTACCACTTTGTAATACAGTTTGAGATCTGGTACTGCTAGGCCGCCTTCCTTCACATTTTTTTGTTGATTCCCCTGATATTTTTGACCTTTTGTTCTGCCAGATGAATTTTTATTTTTTTTCTGGTTGTATAAAATAATTTTTGGTAGTTTCGTTGGTATGGCATTGAATAAGTAAATTAATATAGGTAGGATTATTTTTTAAAATAATATTGACTCTGCCTACCATGAGCAATCAATATTTCTCCAGTTGTTTAGATCTAACTTTACTTGTTTAAAAAGTGTTTTGTAATTGTGTTCATGTAGTTCCTGGGTTTGTCTTAGCAAGTATTTTATATTGTCTAAAGTTATTTTAAATGGAATTTACTAATCACTTTAAAAAGAACATACAGTACCTCTTTAAGGGTGATAGAGGCAGCTGTGATATGTGTTTAGAACACTGGAATTGGATTCAGAAAGACTTGGGTTCAAATCCTGCCTTGGGATACATTAACTTTGTGAAGGTAAATCACTTAACATTTCTTTGCCTCAGGTGATACCTTAGGACTTGATAAATCCAGAATTGGAGCTGCATATGTAGGCAATTAACATCTTTTGCTCATTGAGAAAGTACTTCTAGGTGGGTCCAGGAGCTGCAGTCATGAAATCTAACAAAGTGAAGTATTGCTTCTTAACTATAAATCACTACTTTAAAATCCATTTTGTTTATTTAAAAGACACAGTCTTTCTCATGTGGTAGAATAATAGATTTAGCTACACTTCAGTTTTTTGGTCATTAACTAATGTGATAGTAAGTTGCTTGATTCTATCGTCAGTCAACAGTATTAAGTGCTTACTGTGTGTAAGGCACTGTACTAAGTATTTGGAACACACAGGCAAAAAACAAAAACAAAAACAAAAACTCACCAAAAAACAGGCATTGCCCTTAACAAGCTCATACTCTAATGGGGGGGGGGGGAACGTGCCCATGTATAAGCAAGCTATCTACAGGATAAATTATAGATAATCTCAGAGGAAAGATACTAGCATTGAGGGTAATTGAAGAAGCCTTGTAAGTAAATATGGTTTTAGCTGGGACTCAAAGGAAGCCAAGAGGTAGAGATGAGGAAGAAGAAACTCCAGATATAGGGGACAGCCACTGATTCAGGTGATAGAGGGTCTTGTGTGAGGAATAGCAAGGAAGTCGGTGTCACTGGATTACACTTTAAGAGGGATGAAAAGGTTTGGAAAAACCACTGTGGTGGATGGGATTGTGAGTCATTTGGGGAGGTATAAAAGGATTGCCTTGCCATAGTGAAAGCTCAGCTGAGATTATGTAACATAAGTTTGTAATGAAACAGTCAGTATGCTTTTGTGATTTTCTCCAGCTTTGTTTAGTAGCATGTGAATAGGAGTGAAGGCCACAGATAATAATGACCTTAGATTTAGTTCCAGAAATTTTTTCTCCTAATTTTTCCCAGAAAAACTAGATCAATGTGCATACCCTTTGACCCAGCAATACCACTTCTGGGTCTGTATTCCAAAGAGATCATAAAAATGGGAAAAGGACCCACATGTACAAAAATATTTATAGCAGCTATTTCTGTGGTGGCAAAGAATTGGAAATCGAGGGGATGCCCATCAATTGGGGAATGACTGAGCAAGTTGTGGCATTTCAATGTAATGGAATACTATTGTGCTATAAGAAATGATGAGCAGGCAGACTTCAGAAAAACTTGGAAAGACTTGTACTTGTATGGACTGATGCTGAGTGAAGTGAGTAGAACCAGGAGAACGTTGTACACAGTAAGGCACATTGTGGGATGACTGACTTTGATAGACTTAGCTCTTCTCGGCAATGCAAGGATCTAAGACAACTTCAAAAGACTCGTGATGGAAATTACTATCCACATCCAGAGAAAGAACTATGGATTATTAATGCAGATGGAAGCATACTATTTGCTCTCCTTTACTTTGTTGTTTTGTTTTATTGCTTCATTCTCATGGTTCCTCCCATTAGTTCTAATTGTTCTTTACATCATGACTAATGGAAAATACGCTTAATATGAATGTATAAGTAGAGCCGATATCAGATTGCATGCTGTCTTGGGGCAGGAGCTGGGAGAGGAGTGAGAGAGGGAGAAAATTTAAAATTCAAAATCTTATGGAAGTGAATGTTGTAAACTAAAAATAAATTAATTAATTGTCCAAAAAAAAAAAAGAAAAGAAAACTAGATCATCTTGGAAAAAGATCTATATACCCATTGTCACTATTGGCACATCTGTCTTTTGACCTCATTCAACCAAAAATGCTGTCTCCAAAATTGCCAATGATCTTTTAATTGCCATCTCCACTAGCTTCTTCTGAATCCTCATGCTTTGACTTCTTTTCAGCATTCATCACTGGCCACTCTGTTCTCTCTTCATTCTCCCACTCTCTGACCTAACCTTGGTCCTTTGCTAAATCATCATTTTATCATGCCACTAACTGAGCATTCTCCCACATGTCTGTTGTGGATCCCTTTCTTTTTCTCTGTATACTATTTCACTTAATGACTTCATTTTTTTTCCCTGCTAGAATTAATGGAGAACTTCTTCCAGTCACTCATGAGGTCATCATCCTTGATTCCTTATTCTGCCTGATCCAATCAGTTGCCAAAACTTGTCATTTTTTGTTCTTCACCGTCTCTCACTTGAATCTCTTTCTCTCCACTCACATGGCTGCCACTCTGGTTTAGGCATTATTCACCTTTTTACTAGATCAGTAGCTTTCTAATTGGTCCCTCAGCTTCCATTCCATCCCTTCTGCATGAGGCCTTTCTGAGTTTTCTCTTTCCCTCTCTTCTTAGTTTACCTTACATATGAAAGCATATACATATGTGTGTTTTTGTATATATTTGCATGTTGTCTCTTTCTATGAGGATATAAATTCTTTGAGGGAAGAGCATATTGTGTTTTTGTCTTTGTATTTCCATTGCCTGGCCCATAGTAGATGCTTAATAAATGCTTGGTTGATGACTTTGGGTAAAGGTTTATAGGGAACGAATTATGTTAGCTGTGCCTCATAGTAGACTCCAATTTCATAATGGACCAACTAGAAACCCTTAAGGTAGTCCGTCATTTTATAGGAGCCTGGGTTAAATGATTTGCCAAACCAGTTTGCATTCTGTTTTTGTGCATGAAACTCTGCATGGCATAAAAATGGACTAGTTCTTAGGTAACCACCAGTTTTGTTCTAATGCCTGCCTCTTGTTAAAGAAGAAAAATGGGCTTCTGTCATATCTGAGGTTAAACTTCAATTCTTTTTGTTTTTTATTCTTTTAATTTTGCTGTGCCCACATCTTGTGTGTGTGTGTGTGTGTGTGTGTGTGTGTGTGTGTGTGTGTGTGTTTGCAAACTAAAGGTTGCAAGGTTTCTAATCCTTTTAATGGCCCTCTTTCTTAGACAAACACATGAAGGATCTATTGTCTAAACTGCTGACCTCTGGCTATTTTGAAAGTATTCCAGTTCCCCGAAACAACATTATAAAGCAGAAAGAAGAATTGGATGAAGAAATCCGAGGAAAATCAGAGAAGAAACAGTTATTACAGACAGAATCTGTTAAAGAATCAGGTTTGCTATGAATAGTAGAATTTTTAATTCTGTGTTTTATACTGATCAGTGTGAATCATCTAGCTTTTCCTAAGCCACTTGTACTTATTTGTTATCCATAATCAGGGAGATTTTTACTTGTTGCTGGGTAGCCTTTTATTTAGGAAAAACTTGTCTTAATGCTAGACTGATGCTATTTAGGCTGTGAACCTTAAACGAAATTCTAGGTTATGCTTTTAGTGCTTAATTATGTTGCTTTTGGAAAGCACTGATTAAAATAAGAAGTTTTAAAAATTATTAGTAAAATCATTCATTATGGACTTTTGTTTTGTCCAAATACAAGTACAGTAGAACCTGTAAAAAGTTGACAGGGAACAGATACCCTCAAAATATTACTTACTTAAAATGAGATAATCCCATCTCCTGCGAAGTAGTAAAACACACCTCCCTTAATTAAAAAAAATACAAATCAAGTCTTTAATAAAACATAAAATAACACAAAATTTGCAAACTCAATTATAGAATGATAATGTTTTTTGTATTTTATGAAAAGCGTTTTATATGATAGGTCCCAAGTTGTATCCAGATTTATTTTTTTCAGAAATACGTTCTTAATTTTCAGATCACATATACATAGTTACCACTATAACAGTTTAAAGCAATCTAGCAAAATTATGCAGTATAATTTCTGTTAATCATTGTAATGTGTCTACTTTATTCCAACTCATGAGTTATAATTCATCCTACAACTTCTTTTTTAATATTCATATTTCTCAAAGGAATAGTGTAACATTCCTGAGTTCTGGAAAGCAAAGAACATTTTAGTAACACTCTAAATGCTTAAAATGAAGCTAGGTGGTGCAGTGGATAGTAAGGAGGACCTGAGTTCAAATCCAGTCCCAGACCAGACACTTAACACTTACTGGCTATGTTACCCTGGGCAAGCTACTTAATTCTAATTGCCTTGCAGAAAAAAAAAAATGCAGCATTTCATTACTTTGCTCCTAAGAAAAATTGATTTGGAAAACATAAAATTAGTTATCTTAAAATTATCACTGTTTAAATAACCTTTCTTCACTGTACCATATGGGCAATAGAATTGATTATATTTTTGCTTTGTTCCTTTACTGCTTTTTATTTCTTTGGGAATTGTGTAGCTCATTTGGTACTTTTTCCTTTTAAAAATTTCATTGATACTTCTTGTCTTTAGGTCAGTTATTTCCCACCACATGTTCCAGATTGAACCTTCCTTTGTGACAAAGAAAAACAAGCAAAAACATCCAGTACAGAAATCTTGTCTGACAATGTATATAAATATTCTACTTTAGTAGTTCCTTTTCCTCTACCCACATAGGAGCTATTTAAAAAAAATATATGTTTTCTAAGACCTTTTTTGTTTTTTCCCTTACTGAGTTCAACTTCTTTTTAGTCGTCTTTTCACTTACGTGGTGAAAGTCTTTATGTATATCCTCTTGGATCTGCTTATTTTGCTCTGTATCAATTCATAAAAATCTTTCTATATATTGACTAGTTATTGTCTCACAAGAACACTCCATGTACTGTAGTTTTTTTCAGCCATTCCCCAGTTCACTGGCACTTATTTGTTTCTAGTGATTGGCTACCACAAAGCATGCTGCTATGGATATTTTGGTGTACTTGTATATGTTCAGTTATTTCAGTTGTGTCTGACTCTTCCTGACTGCATTTGGGGTTTTCTTGGTAAAGTGGTTTCACGTTTCGTTCTCTAGCTCCTTTTACAGATGAGGAACTGAGGCAAATAGGGTTAAGTGATTTGCCCAGGATTATACAACTAGCAAGTTTCTAGTCACATTTGAATTCAGGAAACTGAGTCTTCCTTGATTCCAAGCCCAGGGTCTATACACTGTGCCATGTAGCTGCCTCATACATGTATAGGTTTTATTTTAATTCTTTAGGCTATGGGCAGGATAGTGGGATTGCTCAGACAAAGGGAATAGATAGTTTAGTCACTTTTATTGTGTAATTTCAAATTGAAATCCAGAACAGCTGTATTAGTTCACATCTTCACCAACACAGCTCCATCTGTGTGCCTGCTCCCACATACCTATTTCAGTAAAAGCCTGAAGTTCTCACTGGACTGCATGAGAATAAAGAAATCGTATTAGAGATTATAGCAAATGCCTTCTACCCCAGACCTGCCAAAAAGTCAGTTAGAAGACCACAGGCAATAGGGAAGGGGGCACCTCCAGCAAAGAGAGTGCCAGCATGACCAGAGAAATGTGTAGCATTTAAGATACACATATCTTGTATTCAGAGGCAACAAGAATAAAAAGTAGTCCTGAGAGCTCCTGGATGAGAATATAGTAGAAAAACATAAAGAAATGCTTTGTTGTTTTAGTATTTAATTTCAGAACTAATTAAAAAAAATATGTTCCATGTTAATTTGGGTATACTACTAAATCTGTATTATAATTAGTATTGGCAATTATTATATTGCTATAGTCCAATTATGAGCAGTGAAATCTCTCCAGTTAATCTCCTTTATTTCTGTGAAGCATGATATATTTATATTCATACAAATCTTATATATCTTAATTTGTTAACTCCCAGCTGTCCATACTATTTATAGCTGTTTTCTGTAGAATTTCTCTTATTTTTCCCTGGCTTTTGTTAGTACTATATAGAAATGCTAGTGATTCTTGTGCATTTATGCTGTATCCTACCATCTTTTCACTGTTAATCATCTGAGTTTCATTGATGATTCTCTGGGCCTTCCTTTCTTCCTTCCTTCCTTTTTCTTTCCTTCTTTTAAATTTTACTTTATTTTCAGTTCTAAATTCTCTCTTTCCTTTCACCCACTTCCCCATTCAATATTCATTACATATTTTTCATGATATATTCCACGTATAAGTTAAATAAGTAAAGTGAAAATTCACAGACTTGTCATACTTCTTCCCTAATCTCCTTTACAAATAAGTTGCTCCATGTTCAGTTCTAACTGTTGCTTCTTGACCTGTATCCTGGCTCCTCAGGAGACAAGATGATTTTTTTTCTTCCAACCTAACACTTCTTGTTCTATGTCAATGAAACAGTTCTATCACCCTTTTCATTGGTATTTTGAGTTCTCAATAAGTCATAGAGCCAATCAAACATTTGGATATAGGGTATTTTGAGGGATTGGGTGGGAAGGGAAGAATGGCGGATTAGCTTTTATTTAGAGAAAAATATTTGGGGATAATCTTGAGAAGATGAGGTACAGTTTTTTGTTTTGTTTCAAATAGTGACCCACAGTTTCACTTAAAACCATCACCATACTTGTAGATTTATTCTTCCTTCTGCACAGTCTGCATTGCAAGCATTGTTATTCCAAATCTACTTCCAAAGTATGTAATATCCCATATCATACCCTCTTCATTCATACATTTCATATTCTCTGAGTTTAGAGTTAGACCCTTGGGTACTTTATTCGGGCCGATGGAACTTGTACCATCATAGCCATTAGAAATTGTATCTGTTTTCTAAAATAGAGCCTTTGAATAGTACTCCCATCTCTTTGAGGACTTAACACATTTTATGGTGATCCACACAGTAAAAGGCTGTAATGTAGTCAGTGAAACAAAAGTAGATTTTTTTTTCTGGTTCTATGTTTCTTCATAATCCAGCAAATGCTGGCAGTTTAGTGTCTAATTCCTCTGACTCTTCAAAAATCAGACTGTGTGTCTGGTAATTCTAGGTCCACATGTTGCTGAAGCCTTGCTTGCAGAATCTTAAGCATAATCTTGTTGGTGTGTGAAATGAGCATAATAAAAAATTTAGTAATTTGAAAATTCTTTGGCATTGCCCTTCTTTAGGATTGGGATATAAAGTGATCTTTTCCAATCCACTGTATAATCTCTTTTCCTCATCTGTAAAAGGAGCTAGAGAAGGAAATGTGAGTTTTTCAAATTTGCTGGCACATTGAGGGCAACACTTTAACAGCATCATCTTTTAGGATTTAAAAAGCTCAGCTGGAATTCCATCACTTCCTAGCCTTATTGTTAGCAATGCTTCCTAAGGTCCACTTGACTTCATTCTCTAGGATGTTTGGCTCTAGATCAGTAACCACACTATTGTGGTTATAGGTTATTGGTGATATTTCTTGTATAGTTCTTTTGTGTGTTCTTGCCACTTCTTCTTAACCTCTTCTCCTTCTTTTAAGTCCCTACCATTTTTGACTTTTATCATGCCCATTTTTGTATGAAATATTCCCTTAATATCTCTACTTTTCTTGACGAAATCACTTGTCTTTCTCATTCTATTATTTTCTTATATTTCTTTGCATTGCTCTTTCAGAAAACCTTCTTATCTCTCCTTGCTGTTCTCTGGAATTCTTCATGCAGTTGGGTATATGTTTCCCTTTCTCCTTTCCATTTTGCTTTCCTTCTTTCCTCAGCTCTTTATAAAGCCTCATCAGACAGCCATTTTTCTTTCTTGATTTGGGATGTTTGTTTTTTTTTTTCTGCCTCCTGTACAATATTGTGAACCTCTATTCATAGTTTTTCAGGCACTCTATCTTCTAGATCTAATCTCTTAAATCTACTTATCTCTTTCACTTCATATTCATAAAGTGTGTTATTTAGGTCATACCTATACAGTCTTATGGTTTTCCCTACTTTCTTCAGTTTGTCTGAATTTTGCAATAAGAAGCTCATGATGTGAGCCATAGTTAGCTCCAGCTCTTGTTTTAGCTGACCATATAAAACTTCTCCACTTCTGGCTGCAAAGTATATATAATCAGTCTGATTTTTGTATTGACCATCTGTTGATGTCCATGTGTAGAGTCGTCTTTTGGGTTGTTGAAAAGAGTGTTTATTAATCTCTGCCTTGCTATGTTTTGTACACCAAGGCCAAACTTACCTGTTATTCCAGTTATCTTTTGATTTCCTACTTTAGTATTCCAATCCCCTATGATGAATGTGAAATCTTTTTTTGGGGGGGGGGGCATTATTTCTAGAAGATGTTGTAAGTCTTCATAGAACTGAGCAACTTTGGCCTCTTTAGTTAGAACATAGCCATATTACTGTAATGTTGAATGGATAAGGAAACAATTATTATAAGATCGAAGCTTTTACCTTTTGTTTTTTTGTTTTTGTTCCTTATTGCTATGGTTAGCATTTCTAGAATTTTTGTCAAATAATTCCAACTAGACGGGAGTCCCATGCATTATCTCATCTTATATTAAGAAAATTTATAGTGTTTCTCTGCTATGAACAGTACTAGTTCTTGGTTTTAAATATGTTTTTGATTATATCTAAGTGGAGCCTTTCTGTACCTGTGTTTTTTTTAGGGTTTTTAACATAAATGAATGTTGTATTTTGTCAGAAGCTTTTTTTATGCATCTATGGAAGTAATCTTCCTCTAACCTGATGTAGGATCAACTTAGAAGCACAATTCTTATTTGACACAGATAATGAACTTTTTAATTGAAAGGGTGAATTCTCTTATAATCCAAAGAGATGTACCTCTTGTGTTCTTTGTTCCTTTTATCATTAACATCCAAACTCAGTGCCATACTTTTCCTTGGCTCCCAGTTGGGTTTGAGAGATGCTACTGGTGGATGATAGGTATTATTAACTTGGATTAACCCAGGAGCGTGCTGGTAAATGTTTAATGACTGACTCTCAACAAAATTACACACCCCATGCTTAAGCTTAATCTGCATTACTAATATTTTCTTTACCACTTTATTAAGTCTAGAGTAGACAATCAATCCAACAATAAATGAAGCCTAGATTTGTACTGTTTGCTGATTTCTAAGGTAAAAATGCTCACATTGAAAATTTAACAGTTGTTTTTTTGCAAACCAATATGAGCTGGTTCCAGGATACCCTTGCAAGTACCTTTTCTTGTGGGACCTGTGCCATGACTCCCCATAGTGGGTATTTGAAGGTATGAGGGCTTAATGAGGAAACATCTTTTCATTGGAGGGAGTACGACTTATCCATGTTTTAATGAAAACTGTCTAGTTAGGTTCATCATAAAACATAAAACCTATACCATAAAGAGTAAAGGGTAGTGGTGGACCACTTTACAATTTTGGATCATATATTGTGACAAGTAAAAAACATTGTTATATTTAGTTATACTTTTAGTGCAAGAAATAGTTGTTAGTGATCCAGTTTAGAAAAAAAAAATCTTTGAATTTCACCTAACATACTCTCCTTTTTCCCTAGAATCTCTTATGGAACATACACAGCCTGAGATACAACCACAAGAGGTAAGAAATACTGAAAAGAGCTTTGCTGATGTAATTAATGAGTATCTGTCTCATGACAGTGTTAATTATTAGCATTTAAAGGTGGGAGAGAGTTCTAACTAGACCTTCATTTTTTTTTTTTGTAATTCATGTGTTTTCTGATTCTAGTTGCATTTGTTTGAAAGCTTTTTAGTTAATGTGATTCCAGAGAGGACCAATGATAGAGGATGTTATCTACCTCCTGACAGAGAGGTGATGGACCTATATTTTTGGGACATGACCAATGTAGGAATTTGTTTGCTTGCCTGTGCATTTTTGTTATAAGAGTTTCTCTTCTTTTTTTTTTTCCTCAGGGGTGGGGGAGATGGGAAGGAAAGAATATTATAGATTTTTGTTATTTCAAAAAAATAAAATTTTAAAAATGTATATAGTTGGAATTCTGTTTTGTATAATCTCTTCTTGCCCATATCTGATTATAATATTAGTTGTCATTTAGAACTTTGAGAAGGCATCTAAGTGGGACAGTAGATAAAGCTCTGGGCATGGAGTCAGAAAGACTCATCTTCCTGAGTTCAAATTCACCCTTAGACACCAATTAGCTGTGTGAACCTGAGCAAGTCACTTAACCCTGTTTGCCTCAGTTTCCTCATCTATAAAATGAGCTGGAAAGGAAATGACAAACCACTCCAGTATCTTTGCCAAGAAAACCCCAAATGGGATCACAAAAAGAAAAACACAAATAACTAAACAACAAAAACCACTTTGAGGTTTGCAAAATGTTTTTACATATATTTTCTCATTTGATCCCCACTACAGTCTTGTTAGCTTATAAGTGCTGATATTATCCCCATTTCATAGATGAGGAAGTTGGGTTTGAGAGACCTTGACTTGCCAAGAGCAGATTATGAACCTTGGATCTTCTTGATACTAACATTCCATTCACTATGCCTTGTAGTTGTCTCCTTTTTTCTTGCTGTTTAAAAATTGTGCAACTTTTCTTGTGTAGATCATTTATGCACTTAGCATTTATTGTGACATATATGTTGTAAGATACTGGCTTAAAATTTTCAATCAGACTGCTTTCCAGCTTTTTCAACAGCTCTTATCCAATAAAGACTTTTCCAGAGTAGTTTGTATTCTTTGGTTTGTTGAAAAAAACTAGACTGTGTGTGCATTTTTTTTTAGGTCTTCCTTTTTTCTTTTATTTAGTACTATTTTGTTTTGTAGTTTGTGATACAGTAGCATTAAACTACCCTTCTTTCCTACTTTTCTTCATTCAATAAAATTTTCCTTTTATAATTTTGGTATGGTACTAAATCTTGAGTAATTTGAGTATTATCATTATTAATGTATTTGCGTAGCCCAATTGTGAATAAAAATAGAATTTGCAACTTAGGTCTCTCTTATTTACATAAATTGACTTGTAGTTTTATTTATGTACATTTTGGTAGGTTAACTGCCAGGTGTTTTCATGCATTTTATTATCTTAAATGGAACCTTCCCCCCCCCCCCCCATTTTTTGTTGGCTTTCTAAGTAAATATATCTCCAAGCAAAATCATTTTGCTTCCTTTTAGTTCTATGCATGTTGCCTCAATTTCTTATCTTGTCACTACAGTTAGCATTTTTACATATAACCATAAGTCAATCAGTGTTCCTGGATCAAATTCATTGTTGATAGTAAATATTTGTTTAAATCTATTTCTTTAGTCTCTTTTTTAATCAATAGTTTTACGTTCAGTATTCATTACTGAATATGCGTTTTTTTCTGTTTTTTTTTACTGGTTTAGCTAGCAGAATCATATTTGTCTAAGGAGTTTAGTAAGGTGCCTTCGTTCCCCCCCCCCACTCCCTTTCAACCAGTTTATGCAGTAGTGGAAATATTTACTTTTTAAATGTTTTCTAGAATCTACTTGTAAATCCATCTATATCAGGATTTTCCTATCTCTCTACCCTTGAGAGTTGATTTTTGTCAATCTGGTTTTTCTTCCTTTTACCTTGTGGCCTCTTTTATTGACTTTTTCAAAACCAACTTTATTTTTATCAACTAAAGTCTTTTGTTTTCAATTATATTTACTTCTTTGACTTTTGATTTTGTTGTTATTGTTATAGGCTCAATTCAGTAATCTATCTTTTGTCAGTTTTTCTTTGAGCTCTCTTTTCCCTTTTTCTCAAGTGAAAATATTAAGGATATCTTTAACTTTGTACCATATATTTTCATATGCTTTCTCATGATTTTCTTTAATTTTTATGATTTGTTCTTAGACTCAGTATTTATGATCCCATTAATACTTTCCATTGATCTTTTCCTTGTTTCGTTTATGAAATCTTTGTTGTAGCCCACAGCCTATTATTATTATTACCTTTTTAAAAATGGATGGCTTTTTATTTTTATATTGTATTCATTTCTGAATTGTGCTTTCCCTTGTAACAAAGATGAAAAAAGGGTGAAAAAGTTCAGCAAAACCAACCAATACACAAACTGTACCTGACAGCACATGCCATATCCTACATCCAGTTTTCCTCCTACCTCTTCAGTGAAGCATGTATGTTGTTTCAACTCTTCTGTTGAGAGATGAACTTGATCATTATGTGAAATTTCATTATTTTCTTTGCATTTATGTTGTAAATCCATATATATATATTTTCCTAGTTCTGCTTGCTGTATCAGTTTTCATGAATCTTCCCATGTTTCCCTAAATTCTTCATTTATTGTTTCTTGTGGCAGAACTCGGGACTTAAGGGCTGTCTAGTCCAAACCCCTCATTTACAATGACTTTTCTATACAGGCGGTGAGCGTCATAGGTGGGGTTTATTTAGATATTACCCAGTTGCTGCATGCTTACTTTAACCGAAGCTCTTTGATACGACAAAAAGCGCTGATATGAATGTTTTGCTCCATATGGGACCTTGTTTTTTGACCTATCAGCTGGATCAGAGGGTATGGCCATTTTATTTTTCCCCTCAGATATTTCCAAATTGCTTTCCAGAATAATTAGGGCATTTCACAATTTCACCAACAATGAATTTTTAGTTTCTGTCTTCTCTCAGCCCCTTCATCATTGAAATATTTTTATTTCAAGATATTTTTAATATCTTACATTTTGCTGAGTGTGAGATGAAATCTTAGAGTGTTTTAATTTGTATTTTATTAGTAATTTAGAGCTATCTTTCATATGGTTGTTCAATGATCTATTTTTTTATGAAGGTGCTAAAAAAATAAGTGTCTCAAGATTTCTATTCAGTAATCAGTAAAGATCTATCTTTAGGTAACTAGGTTTCACAGTAGGTAGAGTAGTGTGCTTGGAGTCAGGAAGACTTGGATTCAGATATGGCCGCAGACATTTACTAGCTGTGTGACCTTGGACAATTCATTTAACCTCTCTTTGCCTTAGTTTCCTCAGCTATAAAATGAGAATAATGATAGCACTTACCACCCAGAATTGTTGTTAGGATCAAATGAGATAATATTTGTAAAACACTTATTAGCATAGTGGGCTCTATATGATGCTAGCAATAATTATAATTATCTTTTTTTTGGATATAATTTTTCTCTTTCTTTCTGTTACATTTAAGTGCCCAAAGAACATCTTTCTAAATGGAATCTTTTTGTAATGCAGTTAGTTCTTAAGTACTTAAAGGAAAAGGTATGACATTTAGTGCATATAAATTTCATATTGCTATTGTTTCATTTCTGGTACCTTTGTGTTGTAATTTTCTTGATTTTTCTTGATTGTATTTTTATTGTTGGCTTGTCCAAAGTGGCCGCCCCCTCTTCTTTTAAAAAAAAGATCCAGCTAAAGTTTAGTATTTTCTGCTTTAGTCTCTCCTTTTGTTTTATTTTAACTAAGTCTGTTGTTTTAAGTGTTTCTTTTATAGAACAAAATGTTGGTTACTGTTTTCTAGTCGCTTCTACAACCCTCCAACATTTTATGGGTTTACCCCATTAATATTTGATGTTATAACTAAGTATTTTTCCCCTCTAAAAATTAAAAAAAAATTTTTTTAAGACCAGTGTTCATCCTCCTTTCTTTGCAGAGATGGACTATAATGGCTGTGGAGCTGTCAAACACAGTTGAAAGGTTAATTGGTTTTGCTTAAATGATTTTTCTCTTTTGTAATCTTTGTTACAAGGAATGGTCCCCTGAGGAGGGGAATGAAAGGAATATGTTTGGAAATGAAGGTAATATGAAAACAAAAAATCAGCTCTAAGTACCCGGAGCCTGTTTTGTTTACAATAATCCTATCCTAGTTTCCTCCCTTTCCTCCAGACGTGCTTCCTCATCCCCTCTCCACGTAAGCATACATAAATTATTGAGTCATGTTCACTTAAAAAATATCTGTCTGTCTATCTTCGTGTGGCTTGTTTTACTTGAAATCGTTTCCTTTCCCATTCTACCCTTGGATTCAGATTTGCTACCCCTAGTCTCAGAATGATCACTTTATTGTAGTTTTACTACTGTAATTTTTTTTTAAGGAAACAAAAAGCATTTATTAAGCACCCACTGTGTGTCAGGAACTGGGGATACACAACCAGAATAGATGGAGACTGGGATTAGAGCTGTGATTTAATTGCGCTAGAGAATTCTTAGAAGAGGAAACTCCCTTTATCAATGCACAAATAATCACAAATATAAATAGAAAGACAATCCCTGGTCTCGAGATTTTTCTAGAGGGGTGGAGAGAGAAGGAAATACATAAAAGGAAGTTATAGGGGATGGGGAGAGTGAAAAACATCAAGTGTGCAGCTTGAAGAAGGCAGAGGGCTGCCTGGGCTGGCCTTTCTCCTTAAATGGAGGTTTTAGGAGGCGCCATCCAATTGGAGGGAGAGGCTGCAGGTGTAGAGGGTACTTTGATGGGTGGATTCTGGAGCTGGAGAGAAGCTTCAAGATGAAGAGTTGAGATATGGTAGAGGAGGTCTGGGGTGCTTGTGGAGAAGAAAAAAGTATGGCTATTAGTGAGACATAATTACACAACATTCAGTCTTCATTTATTGTTTTTGTTTGCATTGCTGCAGTCATTG